AGTCTGAACATACATGTCGTGGCGAGATAAGAAAAAGCGGTTTTATATTAATAATAACCACGTCAAACTTTATCTCAATTGCCTGAAACTTGCAAATAGAGTTACTTTCAACTTATCATTGGTTAACGGAGTAGTATATAGACACATTGTTTATTATAAGCTGAGAATCCTTTAGATGAGAGATGACTATTTAAATAAAATGAATCACCTAACATTGTTACATTAAAGTATGCTGAATTAAAGATCATACGATTAGTTTAGTTAATTAATAAATATCAACAACTATTACAATGTCTTCACTAATATTAAGTGCAGCCAATGAGTTTTCAACATTATTTCTTGAAACATCGAGAAGTGATAATTTAACTGGCGATCGATTAAGGCCCCCCTCAGAAATTATCTCCGACACCGTACATCCGATCCTAACGAAACTTTTCATAAATGTTAGGCACAGTGAGTTACGGGAATGAAAAAACTTTTTTGTCTCCAAGTCTTACGGTTTAGGAGTTTTCCAGAGATGAAGGTCCAAAAAGGACCCTGAACGGCGTCCCAAGATTTTTTAATATACTTCAAGCTGGAGAATTCGGATTTGTTTAATTTTAAACTAGACACCTAACTACATCGACTGACCGGCACCGACTTTTTCAATTAAGCTTTTATTGGTTTTTCAGGCAACCAACAACTTCCGAAATCCTTCCGGATTTTTTAAAAATTCTCAGTTTGACAAAAAACTAAGACCTAATTCAAAATGTAGTTTCTTTTCCTTTTTTAAACAAAAAAAGAATGAACTCCCTACGACAAACCGCTATTAAAAATCTTGGGATGCACTTCAGGTGTAACTCTTATATAGTGAAAACGCTGTATGAAATACTCGATTTTAGGACTTCTACGAAAAAAAACATTATTTGAAGACCCGTTTTTTGGAGGCTCTTAGAAAACTTGCTCAAAATCCCCGAAAAACCAGTTTTATAACCAAAAGCAATACACATTCTGGAATTAGACACTTCAGGCTATCTTTCCATGTGCTTATCTCAAAACGATTTTTTGACCGAAAATCACCTTTTCGGGGGGAGGAGGGGGGCTTAAGGTATCGTTATACATGTGCATTACTAATTGCTTTTGCAATTATTGTTTCTAATAGAGACTTTAACCGAAAACGAATACAATGTTGGGTAAAATGTCTCTTCGAATAAATCAAAGATCCATACAATAATGACATTTTTGTTTTTTTTATTTTAGGCTCCAGTATTTTTTACTGGCAATTATGAAGAATATACAAATAACATACGTATCTTTTTCACTTCAATTTACTTAATTTATGTTAGAAACTGTGTATGCTCATTTATTCGATTTAGGTATGCTGGTTTCGAAATACCTACTATGTTGAACCAAATAGCCAAATACCGGATAATAATTAACTACGTCATGAGAGTAGTATTCGATATTATCAATGAATTCCATTCATTTTACTTACTCAAGCATTTTTCTGTTTTTTACCCTATGTATTATGGCGTGCACTGAGTCAAAGATCTGGTACAGTCAATAGTCTCGATTTGTTGTTCATCTTACTTTATTTTATTTTTGTGACACGTTTTTTCTTTTTAAGAAGTTGATGCACGTGACATCGTCCAAGCAACGGCTTTGTATACTCGAAGGAATGGGCAACATTTTGGTGAAAACCGTTTGCTGAATGACCACTCCTCTGCTGAGTTATGATTAAAACACTGAGAAAAACGGCTTTTACTGAAAACCTAAGAGAAACAGAGAGGAGATCTTTGGGAAACCAGGCTGTATGTAAAAATTTTCAATAGGATTGTATTTTGACTTTTTACGGGACCGGAATCGGGACCGGGACCTAGAGGTCTGCGGGACGGTCCCGTGGAACTTTTAATAGGACCGCGATCAGGTTTTCTTGAAAATAGTCTTGTATGAAGTAAAAAAATTTCTTTGAAAAAATATTTACGGGACCATGGGACCAGGACCAAAAATGAGTTCTTTCCACGGGACCGGGACCAAAAACGTTTTGTCCCGCAGACCTCTAGTAATCAGTTCGTTAAGCTGAATCTGAATATGTATAATAATGCGAAAAAAAATTCCACTTGAAGTGTGGATTATGTGCATCTTAATAGAAATACATAGAACATTAATGTTACCAGTAACAGTAATATACACAATATTTGTATTACTGGTAACAGTAATAGTAATGCGCCACCCCTAAATACCACATGAAAGTCTAGGGTCATATGAAATAAATGTCGGCGTCGGCGTCCTCATAGTAGAAAAAACGCAATAACTGGGAAAGTGTAAGGATCTCGGTCATGAAAATGGTACATTGTAGGTAATCGACCATGGCTCGGCAGAAAATGGCTATGAGCGAGCTCTACGAGCAATCCTGTTGAACGAAATTTGCTTTCAGCGAAGAGGTTTTCTGAAGTTCCACTGGAGACCCTCTGAGAACCTCATACATACGTCCATCGGATGCATCACAATCGATTACGTAGGTACTGACACCTTCGCATCTTTTTTTCGTTTGTTCGACGTTTTACCCATAGGGACTTCTGTTGAGTGATTATTGGGAGTAGTTGGTAGTTATTTGCAGGTATTGTGTTATTTACTCTTCAGATGTATGGTATGTTAGTAATTTTGGGGTTTTTCGTTGTGTTGTGTGTTTGTAGTTTCCGGCGGGAGGCGATAACTGTGGGGGATGTGATCCGTATATAGAAAACGTCATGTCTAAAGAAAATGTGTGTGGAATGATTTGAGAAGCGGTATGACGAGCAGAAGTTCTGATAAAAAATATATCTACAAAAGACGCAGCGAGATAAAGGATGTATAAAAGAATACAAGAATTTTTGAATTATTAAAATTTGTATATTCTTCGATGCAGAAAATGTCTAGCAACGATTTGTTACTACCCGACGAACGATAGTTTACATTTTTGCATCTGAATGTTGACTTAAGAACAAAAGCCATTAAAATATTGAAAAACTCCCATCTACATCGGAAACCTTTCCTGTTGTACTAGTTTTCTTTACATTGAGTCCTAAGTTTTTAAACGGTTTTCTAGTTGTGACATTTTTTCAGGCAACCAAAAAAGTGCTACGCTCTCATGTTTCTGCCATTCTGAACGATGTAGATGAACGGAAGAGACCATTCAACGGGAAAATGTGTCGCTACCTGATAAAAAAAGAATTTTTTAATATTTTCAGAATTTTACTGAACTGAGGGAAGTAACTTCGGAAAAAAAAAGTTTTTAAAATTTTCATTTTAAAATCGCATTTTGATATAACAAAAAGCATATGCATCGGAAGCGCATCAAAACTGAACCACTAAACACGATTTCCTGACGATCCTTTGTAAAATCAGTATATTTCTTGAAAAATGAATTTTCTTATGAAAGGATAACTTACTTAAAAGCTGTCCTTATATAACAGTTATGGTAGAAATCCGTGCTATCCTTTATAAGTGTTAATACACGAACGTAGAGATTAGTCAATTCATGTTTCTTAGGCGATAAGATCGCTTCGTGCTTCAGCAAGATATAGTCAACTATGATAGCTGTGCTGCCAAAACCTGCTGTAAACGAATTAAGTAATAATGATCTTTGATAATCATATTAAGAATAGTATAGATATACACCAGTTCCACTTAACTGGAACTGTTGGAGAAAAATTTATAGCAATATATTTCGAAGCTGGAATTTATGGAGTATAAGTAATTGATTATGAAGCTCCAAAAGAACTGCTCCCATGATTCAAATAATCTACTGACAGTCTCTCTGAAACGTTCTGAACTTTTTATACATTTCTAAGTGGAGTCATTCGTGCGGCAGCAGCAGAAGCGTTTGTGTGTATCATCAGATTTGATTTGTGCCAGAAGCATAAAAAGTTCAGTTTCACGGAGATCTTCTTGCAGTCATGAGAATGAAAGAAGTTTATCTAATGCTTGTTGTGTAAATTTTTGGACCTCCGCATCCTTCTAGCGCACTGTCAAGTGTCAATCGCAGAAAGTAATGCCAAGTTTACTTACGTTAAAAATAGTAAAGATTTATCAAAATAGCACTGTTCGGTACCTACTAATAGACAGTTTTCCACTTTTAGCCGAAAATGACAGAAAATTAATATTCTCCATGGTAAAAAAGTTTTCAAAAGCCAATCTCTTGATATAATAAACTTCTCTCTGTTATATCCATGCAAGACTTTCAGAAATGCAAGTGATTAATGTAGCTCTTAAATTATTCATTGAAAAACAAAAGTCATATGCAGAAACAGCTGCTATGGCTTCAAAAATTGAGTGCATTCGAATATTTTTTTGAATAACCTAAACAAACATACATAGAAACCTCTTGCTCTCACTAACTGATACGAGCCCTTCGGACACGTATTTTCGTATGCAAAACAACTACCAAGATCATTTTCAGAATCGACAATATTCGTATATAACATGGGCTAAAAATTCTTTTTACATAAAACACTCTTTATTCTTTACTGTTCTCTTTCATTTCCTTCTTATATGTTCAAATATATTGGCGTTTGCGAGGTTTAAAAGGTATTATAAACGTGCTGTACATCCACCTTATTAACCATGATCTTGTTCATCAAGATTATGTCTATAAATGCATTAATCCTATATGTCACACCACACTTGGGGAAGTACAGCGTAATATACGATCAGTGTGAAATGTGGTGTTATCATCTTCTATTTGTGCATGTTATCATGAATAATGGTGTCACTTGTTTTTTTTATATCATCATATAAGGTAAGTGTTGAAAGAGAAAAGGTATTACACTCTTCTCTTCGCAATGCTGGTTTATCAGACAGTGTGGCTCGGCGTGCTTCTCTTCTCCTTTGTTTTTATTGTTGTAGCAGATCAACATTTAAATAGAAACGGTCCTTTTGGCAAACGTCACTCGATTAACGATGAACCAAGTCCATATACTTGCCATCGAGGTACCGGCACCCCGGCTTCTTCTCCTTTTTCACAAGCGAGCGTGATTGTCATGGATTTGCATGTATCTGCTTCCGTCTATGCCAGCAATAACCAGATTGAAGTGACTTGGACGCCAACATTGGTCCCATGCAGCGATGATTTCATCGGCATTTACTTTGTCGAAATTCCTCGCCCCACAGGTAAATGGCTTGTGCTCTTGTGCTCACTCGATCAGACTGAATAGAGTGTAAGAATTCTCTTGGTTAATACTTTTTTAAAACTTTTTTCGTCTTAAGTTTTCGAACTGTATTGTTTTGAATCGATGTCGAGTTACTAGTTTAGTTTAATCCAAAATCTAACTTTTTATATCTTACTAAATCTACTTCATTTTCTCTGTCTCATGTTTTCATTACTTTTATTAGGTGCCTGCGATTATTTCGACTATGAATTTGTACAAACAAATCAGACTAGTATGTGGTGGCAAATGGTCAATTTGCGTCGTCCACTTGAGTTTCGTTACTATTCACGCGATCACAATTGTTCGGGTAACTATTCATTTGCCGCCATATCACCCGTTGTTCAACCACTGAATTATAATGAACCAACACAACTCCACTTGGCCTATGGCGATCGAATCGATCAAATGTTTGTTTCATTTGTGACCAATTCGAGTAGTTACATACCTCAGTGTCAATATGGTTTGGATCCATCGTCTCTCGAATGGCAGATGAATGGAACAACAGTCACTTATACAGCATCAGACATGTGTGAAGGCAAAGCCAACACATGGGGTCCTCAAACATTCATCGACCCAGGCTTTATGCATACGATTCTGCTCAATAGTCTTCGTCCATCGACCACTTATTTTTACCGGGTAGGCACTGATGAACATGGCTGGTCATCGATCTTCTCATTCACCAATCGTCCGGTAAATGAAGACTCTGAAGTGACTCTGATCGCCTATGGTGACATGGGATTGTCACCGGTTGAGCTAGGTGCCAAATCAACAATTGATCGAGTACGGGCACGAGTGATGTCAACTAACATCACATGTCTGCTACATATTGGTGATATCAGTTATGCCCGAGGCATCGGTGCATTGTGGGATGCGTTCATGACTCAGGTAGAACCAATAGCATCTCATGTACCGTACATGGTCGGCATTGGAAATCATGAATATGATCATGTTACTGGCGGCGAGAAAGATCCAAGTGGAGCCCCAGGTCCTGGAGGATTTCGTCCGGCGTGGTGAGTCACATTTTTGATATAATAAGGAAATCAGCGACAGAGAAAAGGAACGATATAGAAAACGTGCTACACAACATTTTTTGGTGATTGAAAGACTATGATGTGATAAGTTTGCTTTTCAAGCTCTTATCATATTAAGAGTGCTGTATGTATTTAGGGGTAACTATGGTTATGATTCGGGTGGTGAGTGTGCCGTCCCCATGGTCCGCCGTTTCCATTCTCCATCAAACGGCAACAGTCTCTTCTGATACAGTTTTGATGTGGGACCTATTCATATTGTATACTATTCAACTGAACATGACTTTCGTCATTCATCACCTCAATATGCCTGGCTCGAAGGAGATCTTCGTTCGGTGAATCGTTCTCGCACACCGTGGCTCATTGTTGGTTCACATCGACATATGTATACATCGGAATTAGAGAATCCGGTGGACTTGATTAAACTGATGCTACAACTGTATTTGGAACCGTTGTTCTACAAGTATCATGTTGATGTTAATTTCTATGCGCACAGACATTCGTACGAACGAAGTTGTCCGATGTATCAAAATAAATGTGTTGATGATGGTATCACACAGGTTTTGATCGGTATGGCTGGACAGGACTTAGATTCGAGTACATATTCCGGTGCTGAATGGAGTTTGTATCACGATCAACAATATGGCTATACACAGGTGTGGGCTAATCGAACTTATTTACATTTTACCTATTATCACAATGCGGATGATGCCATTGTCGATCAATTTACACTTAACAAATGACAATCCGACGCGCAAGAATTGTAAATCATTTTTTTTTATGTAATAAACAGCTGCCTGATGCTGGTAATAGAAAAAATCATGGAATACGAAAAGTACAGGGTAAGAATAAGAGTATTTTGTAGACAAGTTCACAAGGTTAATTTTCTGAAGTCAGAGATTTCCGTAGATGGTCTATTTTTCAGACAGACGAACACTGGATAGACTCTCTCGCACTATAAGTAGGGATATTACAGAGAGTTTCACAGATTTCAAAAATATTGTTTAGAATCAGTAAACGCTTCCGTTTCACTGAGAGAAACTTACTCTAGTTGAGAATTCCCGCTGGATTCTTTCATGGTATAACAGTAAAATACTCGAGTATGATGAGCTCGATTCTGCTGAATGTACGTTGTATAAGTTATTCGTTTGCTGCGTCGATATTCCATACGTTCAACAAGCATCTCAAGTTTTGAATAGAAAATTGATAAAATTCACCAAAACTGTTACGCATGATTTTTATTTAAAAACTATCTAAATCAATAGTTTTTTCTTTTTGGAAACATAGACAAGATAGAATCAAATGTCGTCTACGGTATTAATTGTAAAAAGTTGCAATAAGAGCTAAGTCGGTAAAATAATTCGAAAAAACAGGAAGACGTTTAGTGGACCATGATGCTCCTAAACGTATTGAAACTGTTAACCAACCACCAAACGATGCACCCACTTATATATTCTTTTGATATTACGTCTGTTTTCAGGTTATCTTCACAGGCTTGTGGTCAAGCGATGACGTTAAATCTACCTCGGTAAAAGTAGTAAAAGTGGCTTTTCATCATATTTTCACCATGAATCGAATTTAAGATACTC